AGCTGGTTAGTTGTTTATTTTGCTAGTTCGAAATAATTTTGTTGGTTGAGTTGTTGGCAATTTTATGATTGGTTGTCTGTCTAGCTAGTTAGTTGTTTATTTTGCTAGTTCGAAATAATTTCTTTTGTTTATTCGTTGGAAATTTCGTGTAGGGTTGTTGAATGGCCGGTTAATTGTTCATTTTGCCAGTTCGAAATAATTTGCTTGGTTGTGTTGTTGTCAATTTTATAATGGATTGTTTCTCTGGCCTGTTAGTTGTTTATTTTGCTAATTTGAAATAATTTTGTTGGTTGGTCTGTTGTCAATTTTTTGATGGGTTGTTTGACTATCTGATTAGTTGTTTATTTTTATATTTCAAAATAATTTTGTTGTTTTGGTTGTTAGCAATTTTTTCATGGGCTGTTTGAATGGCTGCTTTATTGTTTATTTTGCTAGTTCGGCATTATTTTGTTGGTTGGATAAGTCGCTAATTTTTATAGTTTGGTTGGCTGGTTAGTAGGTCTCGAGGCTGCCTCGTCATGATTAATTGGTTGGCTGGTAGGTTGGTTGCTTATTAGCTGGGTCGAGCTAACTCTGTTGTTTGGGTCTTTGGCACTATTTTGCTGGGTCGTTTGTCAGACTGAATCGTTGATTATTTTGCTCGTTTTATATAATTCTTTTGTTTTACTGGTTGGCTGGATGTTTGACAATTGTTGTTTTGCTCAATGGTGGCAATTTGCCAGTTTGCTGTTTGGCTGTCCATTTGTTATTGTTTACTTGGTTGGTTCGTTGACTCTTCACTCGACATTGGGACAATTTGATGCTTGCTTGCTTGTCGGTGGCCTGTTGGTTCTGCCATTGCCTCCTTGCCTGATTAGCCGTTTTGTTTTGCATACTGTCCCGTTTTCTTTCACTCGACTGATTGGCCCGTGGTCGTGTTGTCTTCACAACAATTCCTTTTCTCAACTCGACATCTCCATGCGCCATGTACAACCTCTGGCCACATCACCTGCTGCTCGTCTCCTCTCTCAATCTGGTCATCTGCAACATTGTCGGTTGGTCGCGTTCAACCGAACGCCTCCCTCTCGCCTCATCCTCGTCTCTTCCTCAAACGCCGGCCGACTGTAGACACTTGCATGTGCCTTTCTGGGAGGATACCGCGTCCGGGCGCATCCACATTCAGCGCGCCAGAGCCAACCAACCGACGCGCAGACGGCGGCCATGTTGCCCCGCCGAGAGACAAACAGCTCCACCCGCCCGCCCGCCCGCCCGACGGACCGGCGCGTTTAGGTCAGGCATGCGGAAAAAGAAAAAGAGGACACAAAGCCGCAGTCGCGATGAACCCCACCGTTTATGTATGTATCCAGGCGATGATTGATTTCTACAAATATTGATTATATTTTAGGGTAATCATGCCGAGTGAGGCGCTGATCCATGCTGGTGATAAGCCCAAGGGTGAGCGGGGTTGAGCAGAGGTGGGCAGATGAGTTGGTTGGGGAAGCGGCCTCTTCGAATCGCCCACCTCTCGACCAGATGAGGGGGGGAGGGCCGAGTGGGAAAAAGAGGCTGGGCGGCTCGTCGGTCGCCCAATCGGGGGTCAGAAACACACAAACAAACGACACAAGGCGGCCGGTTCGAAGTCCTCCACTATCGAAAATCCCACTGCAGAATGTGATTTGGAAAAATGCCTCAGCTTTCTTACAATTCACATGAATTCACATGCACAAGGCCATTTGTGGCAGTCTCGTGCAACGATTGGCATGTCCAGAGTTCGAGTCCTGCTGTGAGTGCTGATAAAACCATTTCGGGCGGGAATTCAGTGGACTACTCATACGACTGTGGAAAAAGTTTAATTATCAAGTCCTCCTTCGCATAAACACATTTGGTTCAATTTATAGCATATGTATGATTTGCTGGTGGCCTCAAAAACCCACTTTAAAGCGAAAAGTGTTCACCAAATTGCAGTTTGCCTACGGCTACGGACTGAAGAGCGGAATGTTGAAAAGCACAATGATTATCAGAAGGTTAAAACTAATGAACGTGGGGTTCTGGGGAGACGAAATGATACCGACTACCTGAAAGTAATGATGCAAAGAAACGTAAAGGTGATAAAATACATTTGTCCGTGAAAAAAGTCAAAGTGTGAAAGCCGCATAAAGGTGGATTCGCCGACCCTGCTGTGTTGTTGGTCGAGGGCGAAATGGTCAGTTGCCGTGAAGAATGTGACAATAGTTGAAGAAAGTGACCTACAGACTGAAGCGGCCGAGTGGGATGAGTGAGTATGGAAGAATGCGAGAGGAAAGTGGCAAGTGTGATTACGCATGAGGGAACACACTCAAAAGTACACCCGTCTGAAGTGGGCCAGAGTGAACAAGTTAGCAGTTGTGCTCGAGAGGGACGGAGCTACGAGACGGAGCCACGAGGAGTGGGGAGGAAAACCGTGGATGCTGGACGAGCCAAGTTAGTTGGGGTTGTCCGGAACCAGGAATGTGTTGTGAAAACGAGGTATGAGCAAGGTGGGATGCAGAGACGATACTTTTTTGTGATTCGGACTAATGTTGAGGATGTATTATATTACTGTATGTGTGTATGTATAGGTCAAAGTAGTATAGTATCTTATGGTATGCATTACGTCATAGTATGCAGCATGCGTGCATGCATTTAGCATGTATGTATGTACGTATGTATACGACAACCTAACAGCTCATATCATGCTAGACTATATATATTACTTTATAGTATTTAGTATGTATGTGATTAAGTAAATATGTATGCATGTGTGCATATGTGTATGGGACACATTAGTATTCTGTAACCTGTTGATGTATGTAGTCTGTATGTGTGTATGTGGATGGTTAGATG